TGGCTTTCCAAGTTGGTAAACTTGATGCTTCTCCACCTGGAAACATTGGCAAAGCTGCTCCTCTGCTCAGGTGGTCTCTCTTCTCTCATGCAGCATCTGCATCTGAAGACAGCTCCTGAGGCTGCTCATCTTGCCCTGTCGTTCTCGCAGCCACAAGTCTAACTTTCTGCTCTGCTCTTGCACACTCTGCAGGTCTCTCTCCAGGTTTACCACCTCCCGGGTCAGCTGCCTGGTCTGCAGCTCATCTCCATCTTGCAGTGCTGAATCCAGTTCATGCTTAGCATGATAGAGAGTAGCAGCACAATTATTTGTATCGTCTGAAAGCATGTCCCCCCATTTAAGGGATACTGTGCCTTTTCCTAGGGAGTAACTATACCCACCTGGCTTGGGAGGACTCAATCAATCACGTTGATTCAGCTGCCAGTGCTGAAAGCTTTTCCATCTGGATAGCTTTCATCTAGGAGTGCTCAATAATGAACTCATCTGCAGAACACTGAGGATGACAGGAATGATCGGGCATTGGCCAATTAATTTAGTCTGCTGCTCCCAGTCAGGCACTGGACCTAGTATTTGCCCATTCAAGGCTCAGTCCTTCACCCCAAGGACTCAGTTTAAGGCTACTAACTTCTGTGCCTCATCTCTACGTAACAGACTTCTGCAAACCCTTGGTGGATAGACCATCCTGGTGGAACTGGTCACTGGCTCTCCTTCTAGCCACTGGGTTTCCCCATTGCTCCTTGCACCCCTGCACAGTAGCCCGACACAATGGCTACCTTAAGTGCAGGGATTGCTCTCTCCCAACACTTCACTGGCAAGATACTCCATGGGACAGGGATGACTGATGAAGTAGTGGGGAGACCATAGTCCCACCCATCCCCTCTCCACCAGCCAATGGAGTTGGCTGCATGGGCAGGGGAATGCATGCTGCACTCAGGAAGAGGTACAGCAGTGGGCGTGCTCCCTTTGCACTCCCATAGAGCTCCACCTGGAGACCACTGTTCGGCACAGCCCTGACTACAGGGCGGTGATTAAAGACTAGAACTGAAGCAGACATTTTCCTCTACCTTCTAAAATAAAGAGTCAAATTTATCCCTTCTACAATGTCGAGAGAAGAAAATAGCCCATATTATTAACTGACATCAAATTAACCTGTGAGAAAGAGACACTTTGGAAGAAAGGTTCTGTCCTGCTCTTGACCATTAACTCCGGATTAAGCCCATTTAATAACTCCAGTCTATGGCCTTGTTTACACTACACAGTTTTGTCGACAAAAGTCAGCTTTCATCGACAAAACAATGGAGGTGTACCCACTACAATGCTCCTCTTGCCAAAATTGGGATATGCGTGCCATCTATCACCCCGCCACAGTGAGGCAATCCCTTCTGCGGAAAAGGACCTAGGGGTGACAGTGGACGAGAAGCTGGATATGAGTCAGCAGTGTGCCCTTGTTGCCAAGAAGGCCAATGGCATTTTGGGATGTATAAGTAGGGGCATAGCGAGCAGATCGAGGGACGTGATCGTTCCCCTCTATTCGACATTGGTGAGGCCTCATCTGGAGTACTGTGTCCAGTTTTGGGCCCCACACTACAAGAAGGATGTGGATAAATTGGAGAGAGTCCAGCGAAGGGCAACAAAAATGATTAGGGGTCTGGAACACATGAGTTATGAGGAGAGGCTGAGGGAGCTGGGATTGTTTAGCCTGCAGAAGAGAAGAATGAGGGGGGATTTGATAGCTGCTTTCAACTACCTGAAAGGGGGTTCCAAAGAGGATGGCTCTAGACTGTTCTCTATGGTAGCAGATGACAGAACGAGGAGTAATGGTCTCAAGCTGCAGTGGGGGAGGTTTAGATTGGATATTAGGAAAAACTTTTTCACTAAGAGGGTGGTGAAACACTGGAATGCGTTACCTAGGGAGGTGGTAGAATCTCCTTCCTTAGAGGTTTTTAAGGTCAGGCTTGACAAAGCCCTGGCTGGGATGATTTAACTGGGAATTGGTCCTGCTTCGAGCAGGGGGGTTGGACTAGATGACCTTCTGGGGTCCCTTCCAACCCTTATATTCTATGATTCTATGATTCATTGCTTCAAAGCCATCAGGCATTTCCTGCACATTATAGAGAGTCACAGTCCTTCATAGTAGGAGGCGATTAATGGCCCTGCACACTTGCATCACCACACCCCCCATGGTGGACTTTCCAACTCCAAACGGATTCGCAGCTGACCAGTAGCAGTCTGGAGTTGCCAGCTTCCACACAGCAATTGCCACTCGCTTTTCCACTGTCAGCTCTCAGTCTGGTGTCCCTGCGCTGCAGTGGGGGAGCGAGCTCCTCACACAGGTCCAGGAAGGGGGATTTGCGTATCTGAAAGTTCTGCAGCCACTGCTCATCATCCCATACAATGACAATGCGATCCCACCACTCAGTGCTTATTTCCCGAGCATGGTACCACTGGCTCATCGTGTGCAGCTGCTCTGTGAATGCCAGCAGCAATCCTGAATTTTTTCTTTCCAGGGCACACATCAGCACAGGCACCGCCGATTCACTTTGATTCACAGCTCATGAAATACTGCAGGACTGGCTGTGTTGTGTTCATAATGGGAACCCAGAGGGACAAAGGATTCCCACCTTATGCAAAAGATATATAAGTGGGTGGAACAGAACAAAGGTGGGTGGCCATCATGAGAAATCCCCCTAGCTACCGCCTGAGCTGGAACAAGGGCTGTACCTGGGGAAAAGATTGTGCCCAGACTAGGAAGGCATCCAGTCTGTGAAAGAAACTTATTAAAACATCTCTGAGGGTGAGATTTTATCTGTATTCAGTTTTATTATTGTACTAGGCTTAGACTTGCGTTTATTTTATTTTGCTTGGTAATTCACTTTGTTCTGTCTGTCACTACTTGGAACCACTTAAATCCTACTTTCTATATTTAATAAAATTACTTTTTACTTATTAATTAACCTAGAGTATGTATTAATACCTGGTGGGGTGGCAAACAGCTGTGCATATCTCTCTGTCAGTGTTATAGAGGGCAAACAATTTATGAATTTACCCTGTATAAGTTTTATACAGGGTAAAATGGATTTATTTGGGGTTTGGACCCCATTGGGAGTTGGGCATCAGATTGTTAAAGACAGGAACACCTCTTAAGCTGCTTTAAATTAAGCCTACAGCTGTGAGGGGATGTGGTTCAGACCTGGGTCTGGGTTTGCAGCACACTAGCGGGTCTGGCTCGAACCAGGCAGGGCACTGAAGTCCCAAGCTGCCAGGGCAGGAAAGCAGGGGCAGTAGTAGTCCTGGCACATCAGTTGGCAGCCCCAAGGGGGTTTCTGTGATCCAACCCGTCACAACCATAAATGCACCAGATACACTGCACCATTGCAAAACCTCAGAGTGGAAAAAATGGTTTGCTTTACTGTCAGTGTAAACTTTCATCTTCTTCTACAGTCTTATTCAAAAACCTCGGCTATATTTTAATTTGAACTTAATGATGGCTTACAGGAAGTCAATGTTTAGCACAATGGCAGCTGTTTTTGTTCCCCCCCCCCCCCCCCACACACACACACCCCTACCTTTCTTGGTTTCGATTAAAAGAGATTTATTAAAAAAGATCTTTTGAAGACATGCTGCATTGTACTGCTGGGGACGCAGCGAATCAGTTAATTTTGGAGGGCTGCTAATGCATACAATTTGCACCATCAGTATTTAAGTGAAGAAAGGGTCATTTAAAAAAAATCTTTTACCCCTGTGAAATATCTAAAGTCTACTTCCCAAACAGCATGGCCTCACAGTTCAGAGCAATGGTGGCACCGGCTGCACTACCGTGACTAACAGCTAGCACACATCACATCATAATAAAAACCATGGAATGCAGTCAAGATGCAGTGGATCATAAAATAGCTTTTTATCTCTGATTTCACTGAGAACAGCAGGGCTGGTGCTGAATGCAGAGGTATCACTAAAATGGTCTGAAGCCATGTTTTTTGTAGTTAAGGAAATTAGAGTACAATTGTTGTTCCCGCTAAACTTTTGAGCTCATTCTCTTTTTCGCTGCAGCAGCATTAGTCACCTTTTCCCTTGACAAGCCTGTAATGAATGCATGCATGTGGAGAGTACATAAAACTGAGCAACCCGAGCTCTCCGCTTGGCCAAAACAGACCTACATTCCAGAAAGTAGTTCATTTGGAAATGACTCAACTTCTCCACATATCATACCACCCGGGTTAAGCGCTGTAATTTTGTAAGTTGAAGTTAATGAAGATCTATAGGCCAGATCCTCAGCTAGTGTACAATGGTGCAGTTCTACTGAAGCCAACGGTGTGACTGATTTACACTGGTTGAGTTTCTGGCTCCTGGTGTATTAAGAATAACAGAGTATCTACAATATATCTGTATTTTGGATATATCATCAGCCATCCACACCCAACAGATGCAAGTGCAATGCCAAATCCTAAGGTCCATTTATTCAGTCAAAACTGTCATTGACACCCATATAGAGGGCATTCAATACTTCTCAGGATTGGGTCTGTGTGACACAGAGGCCCATTAATTGTACATTGCCCTGTGTGTCAAGCAACTCTTGTCATGCCTGACATACTCACTACATCTAACACACTATTGTCATAATCTGTATCTAAAAAATATCATGTAAGGTATTATATACCAACTGATAACATGCTGGTCTTGAAAATCATTGTGAGCTGTATGTATGGGGTGTGTACAAAGAATTATAAATATGTACTAGAATTACGTTTTTAGCATGTTTTTGGCAAGGAATGCATAAGCTCACTCTGCCCTAGACAAAGGAATGTGTATTAACAATGAAAGTACAATTACATGTAAGGTAAAAATGCTATCAAGCAAGGGAGAAGATAGCATAGCGTCTATACCCCCAAGCAGGAGAATGAAAAGTAAGTCTGAGCAGAGTTTCATTTCACACATTTCAAAGGTTTACTGGACTATAAAAAGAAGAGGAGAGAACCCCCTAGTTATCCTTCACCTAAGGAGTCAAAGAATCCAAATGCTTTGAGCTCTGTGTGTTGGGTCCTGGCTAAAGGTCTAGCCAGCCACCGTGGAAGACAGACTGTGGTGAGAAAAACTTCTTTGAACGAAAGACTCTAGTTTGTTAAGTTAAGTTTTAAGTCTTAGAAGTGTATTTTTACTTTTGTTTGTTTGTAACCATTTCTATCCTTATTCATTATATTTGGTATCACTTAACGCTATGTCCTTTTGTTAATAATCTTGTTTTACTTTACCATAAACCAACTTATGGCTTTGATTGAAGTGGAATTAAAGTAACAAGCTGCTGTGTGTTGTCTCTTTAAAGAAGCCATGAACTTGATCCGGTTTTGTGAGTGTTACAGTAAGGAGGAACTGAATTGTGGAAAGAGGCCTTTGAGGAACTTACTTGTTAGGCAAGGTTTGGACTAGTGGAGTCCTGAAGAATTTGCTGGCAAGGCAGACAAGCTGATGACTCAGGGAGCTCACATATAGCTTAGCAACAGAAAAGCTCTCATTTGCTCAGGCTGAGAGGGGTAGCACAATGGCTCACGGATCTGGGAACCCCAGCAGAACTTAACAGTCTGTTACCATGGTGATGAGCTCAATATAAGAATCTATGCAGTCAAACAGGGTCCAATATAATCCTCCTTTTTAAAAGACCTGTGAGATACAGCATTCTTTGTGACCTTTGGAAAACCACCACGCCAACAGGACTGTTCAATAACATTCAAGAAAAATGATGGTGGTTTCTGTGTAGAAAATCAGCTGTAAAATCAGCTGGGTTGAACCTTTGCAGAATATGTTTTTATTTGATTTACTTCACACTAACAATATGAGACATCTTCCAAAACACTTTGCTTTCTCTTTTTTGTCTTTGTTTTAAAAACCCCAGCGCAAGAACATTTGTGCTAGGGAAGAAAAGCCTCACAGATGAATGGCTTTGTACATACACGGATAAAACTGCCTGAAATAGCTTTGTTTTGAAACAATCATTGTCTCTTAGGAATTTTAGTTATTCTGTTGGAAGATAACTCTCAACGTTTTTCTGTGTCTTTCAAAGTAGTTATTTACTTAGGAAGTGAAGGGAAAAAGAAAAGAAGTTTCTTCACTAAATTTATTTTGCAGCTGTGATCATCACAAGCCAGAAAAGGGATGAAAGCAGGCGAAAGACAGGATTACATTCCAGCCCAACTCCAAACTGACATTCAGAAATTGTCCCCAGATTATCTGAATATGGAAAGATTTTATTAGGAGATTCCTGATTGTTAAAAAGCTGGCTAGAGTCCAATGGTATGTGTGCACTTTAGATGTAATTTTCAGATTGGGTAGACTACACTAGATAGTTTTGATTGAACTAGCATGTTCCCAGTGGGTGGGAGGCAGTACCAGTTAGCTGCCAGAGTACAATCCAGTCCAAGACCCCTGTATGTACCTGAGTGTTGAATGTCTAGCCATTAAACAACAACATAGTGTAGATGAATCCAGGAATTCACAACAAACATATATAGTTTCAGGAAAGACCATTTTGTATACTGAAATATGGTACACTATATTTTCTTGAAAAAAGAAAAGGAGTACTTGTGGCACCTTAGAGACTAACAAACAAATCTTTTTGCGAATACAGACTAACACGGCTGCTACTCTGAAACCTATATTTTCTTGGTGTTTTAACTTATGTTTAGTGCCTGCATTTCCCATTTATTTATACACGCACACACATACATACAGAGAGAGACACGGGGGTGGAGGAGAATAGCGTTCTACTGGAAAACAGCCCAAGCTGTGATGTTTGGATCTGAAGCCCGAACCAAATGGCTCCAAAGTCTGAAGAGGCCTGATCTGGTGCCTTGGTTCATCTGAGTTCTATAAAAGTCCAAGCAGCAAAATTCAGATTACTTCTCCACAGTCCAACAAGGTCTGGTATGCTGGTTTGGATCCATCTTATACTATTTCAAAATTTCAAGTCTGCAGTTGAATTTCCCCATGTTCCGATTTGGCCTTCTCTCTACTTGCTATAATAACTATATTACGTAGTGCCATAGAATGAAAAAAAGATGCAAAATTAGCAAGTGCACAGAGACCTTACTATTTCCAGCATTGTTATGCAACACCCTTCCTCTGCCCAACCCCCACATTGTGCCATTTCACTTTAGGATGTGCACATGTTCAGAACAATAGCTTGCATATGTGCACGGTTACACCTCTGCTTTCTTTCCACTTGGTGCTGTAGTCTTTGACTTACTGATCTTTCCTTCATGCATCTCTTCAGAAAATTCCATGGTAGGTACATCATTACTAGCTGTCTATTCTATTTCCAGCATAAATTTAAAGTCACCTCTTTGTCCCTTTTGCAGCCCACACCCTGACACAGCATCTTCTCACAGTTCTCTCCCACACACACAGCTCATGAAATTACATTCCTAACCCATATGGGTATGATGAATGGTTGGTATTCACCTCTGTTACACAGAACCAGCTCGCTCGAGGGTTTGTAGTGGGTGACAGAATGGCCACTTGTTCGCTGGTTCAAATGTCATTTCGGATGGCAAGGACAAAAGATGGTTACGCAATGTTTATTCTTTGTTTGCCTAAATGAGTCAATGGTATCATAAAAACAGCCAGGATTGACAGTCTTATTCGCAGCCTTAGAGAGGTCAAGAATCAAGAGGTGGCTGGACTACTCTAGAGAGATATTGATTAGGGTGGTGTGTGTGTCCAAAATGAGCATTTGGGCGTCTATGTAACACTAAGATATACTGATGGGCAGCCTCTAAATGACAGATAGAGCAGTGATTCTCAAACTTTTGTCCTGGTGACCCCTTTCACATAGCAAGCCTCTGAGTGTGACACCCTCCCTCCCCCATCAATTAAAAACACTTTTTAATATATTTAACACCATTATAAATGCTGGAGGCAAAGTCGGTTTTGGGGTGGAGGCTGACAGCTCACAACTCCCCTTCCCCCATGTAAGAACCTCGTGACACCCAGAGGGGTCCCAACCCCCAGTTTGAGAACCCCTGGGATAGCGAGATAGGACAGACATACCTAAATGTAGGATTTGTGCCTACTTTAGAAAATTATATTTTGCTCGAATAGAAAACCAACCACAAAAAGCTGCTTTTCGTGGGCCTTTTGTTTCAGTAATTAACCCCAAAAAACAACCTTTTTGCAGACACACTAGTGAAATACACTCGTAACAGGCCTCACTTTGGCCTTTTTTCCTCTCCAAGGTGTTGAACATGAGGTCAGTCATTCCCTTAGAACAAACATCAGTCTAGTGGAGCTGCTTTCTCGGAGGAAAAAGAAAAAAAAAAGCTCCCGTTCATCATCTTCCTTCAGCTTTTCTCTAACAGAGACTGTGGCAATATCCGTTTAAGTTTAGAAAGCATATTGTTACAGGATGTGTGGGAACCACAAATACCATCTGAGGCCAAGTTACAGTAAATCCTATTCTTAGTGTCGCTAATGGAAGTACTTCCTTCTCATCAGAAAAGTAAAAGAAAGTAGGCCCATTAATTTTTCACTCACTGCTGCAATAAAAAGGCACTTTACAAGGGAAAAAATGACTCCAATAAGTTACCTGAGGCATTCTCTGCTTCAATATATTTCAGTGTCGGGAGGATTGAAATTAGCTATGTCTATAAATGGTCAATGCCCAAGCTCTGCATAGTGTACCATAAATATGACTTCAATTTTTTGTCTATATTTATGTTCATGTTTTTACATTATTCGTTATTAAGGACACATATTGCAATAAAAGGCTAATCATTTACTACTGTCGTCCCTGGGCATTGTGTATAATACAGTAGAATAAATCAGAAGGAACACATTTGCCCTTAATGTGAATTTAATATGACAAGGGATATTATATGTTCCACTTGATCTGACTGTTTACACTTCCTGTGCCTGGTTTTCCTGACCGACACCAGAACAAAGCAGGAGTAAATCCTTTGAAGTTAATGTATTTAAGCTGATGTAAATGAAGTGTAAGTCAGAGGAGAATCAAGCCTTCTGTATCATGAATTCATTCTCTATTCATTGTAATAGCATTAATTTAAATGAACTGGTTTGATATTCTTATGGCTATTATATATATGTTTAATTTATGCCATGTTTTCTAGTGCTTGGAGCAGGAGACTGTTAGTCAGGACTCCTGGATCCAATCCTTGTTCTGCCCGACTGTGAGCTACTGAGGATGCAGAAGTCCCACAATCACCTTTTGGCGTCATGGAGAGTTATGGCTGCTCAGATATCTCAGGATCAGTAAGTCACTTTGTATTTCAGTTTCCTCAGGATAAGCTGGGGGTTTCTTTTTTAAATGGGATAATATTAGGGCATCTTTAGGATTAAGAAAAAAGAAAAGGAGTACTAGTGGCACCTTAGACTAACCAATTACTCCTTTTCTTTTTGCGAATACAGACTAACACGGCTGCTACTCTGAAACCTATCTTTAGGATTAAGACAGACTGTACTCAGTACCAAATGAGAGACACATTTTGTAAATGCAAAGTGAATTCAGTGCTCATGAAAGGTGCCAGCTTGTCAGCCCTGAAAGTTAACATCTGGTCTTTGTCACCAGGACAAGTGCAGCAAGTGGCATTGTTACCCCAGAATTTGACATAATACCAAAGCCAGCAATTTTATACCTTCAGCTATTGCCAGCTGAAAACCAAACATCACATAGCTAGGAAAATCTTAGGGGAGGAGACAAGGTCAGACAGCTCCATACTTGCAGTTTGTTAATCAGAATAGGAGGGTGGCACAGAAAGTTAACAAGTATGGAAGAGAGTGAGTATACAGAGGCCTTGGTTTTAAGTGCCCCGACACATTGTTATGACTAGAAATGTTTTGATGATCAGAGATGAGTAGTTTTGCTGAAATTAGGAGAACTGGTGACCCACTAGAAGTCACTATACGTTATGTGCTTTGTTTGAATAAAAGATTAGGTGAAAGAATATGCTTTGGAGCAGACCAAAGAAGCTTTCTTTCAGCAAGAATCTGACAGCTAAATTCCCGGGGAGCAGCCCCCCCGCCCCGGAATGCTGGCCGCTGATTCCTCAAAACCATTTTTTAACTCTAGATAAATATACTTGTTTTAACATGCACTAACCCTGCTGCGACAGCATTTGTGTGTGTGTGCGCGCCTGAGATCTAATAAAAAAGTAGTTTTAGGTGAAAGCACACTTGCTTGTATCAATTATTTATCGGGCAGATTGATTTATTCCTGACACCGCCTGGAGAGAAACAGTTAAGTTACCAGCGCATTGGGGTTCTGAGAAACCCCAGGTAACAGCATCAGTGCAAGCTTCCACTCATGTGCCTCAGCCTTAACATGGGGGGGATCACTTCTAGAGGAAAGAGTAATTCCGTTTCCGCGTCCATTCAATCCTGGGTCTCTCTGCAGAGATCACCAACCCATCCAGTAGGAATTAGTGTGAGACTAGCCTTCCATGTCAAAGATCACCCCTCAGAAAATGGTGACTTTCTGTCTCAACTGATCTGGAAGAATATCAGCAGCCTACAGGTGAAGGTTCGGTAGCCTGTTACCAATCATCTGAGCCATTCACAATGCCATGTGTATACATTTCTGGTCCATGTCGTAATTTGTATGACAGCATAGAAACACACAGTTCCAAATAGCCAAAGCTCTTGTAGCTTAGTCTTGGATGGATTTCTTTCCTGTCAAAAAGGATGGGAGATATTAAGCATTATGATTAGTGATAACAAATAGTAAAAAAAAAACATTTAGGGCTAAATTGTGCCTAACCACTGCATGAGTAATTGCCTGGGGGTATTGGCATGAGGAGTGGGCCTGTCAATACCGGCCTAACTCTGATCCCATTGAAGTCAATGGGAACAATAAGGTGAGTACTAGCTTTTGAAAATATCACCAAAAGAGACTCCAACCTGCACAAGGCCCAGGTCTGCTAGCAGTATCCGCACTTGAAGCACAGAGGCTACTCCCCCATGGTGCCCCCCAAAGGTCCAAGTCCCCCCCAAAGCATGACAGGAGGAGACAGGGCCATGGCGCTTTTACACAAAGGTAACAAATGGAAAGAAATATGTCCAGAGAAAAACAACTCTAATCTGTATGAGGTGGCTCTAATGATAAAACCCTAGAATTTAGGGCTGTAGTGGAATAGTGTGACCCACATGAGTTTCTCCAAAAGAAGTTGCCCACTGCCAGAGTATAGAGATTTGACCGATAAACTGAGGTACTGGCATGAATAAATAGTACATTTAGATCCCAGGGAACCCTGGTTCTTGTTGCCTCATAATATTGTACTGAAGACTGAAAGTCATCATTAAAAAAAAAAAAAAAACTTTGGTATGTCTGCATTTTCTTACATAGGTCAGGTAGGTTAGCAGAATACTAACAGAAAAAGTGCTACAAACAGAAATAAATTGTGGTTTATGCATTTGGTTAGCTGTTGGGGTTAAATGTTGCAATATTTCACCTGACACAAATTCTCCTTTACATTTCCTCTCTTCAGTGAATAAGAAGAGCCTAAGACTAACAAAAAAAAAAAAAAAGGAAAGGAAAGGCACAAATGAAAAGACAGGCGGGAAAAAGATTTCTTTCTGACTCTGTACTGCAGAGCTCTCTGCTTCACTGGTTTTGGCTCAGGACACAAGTCTCAGAAGACTTCTGGTGAGCACGAGAGACAAGCCCTCCAAGTTCATATGTTCTGGAAGAGTTTAACTGTTGTCAATTCAAGACGGCCTTGTGCAGCGCCATCTAAACCACTCATTCACTGTTAAAATGAGCTCTCTCCTTCCCATTCATCAAGGTACTGGAACAGGATATTCAAGTGGGTTCACAGAGGTACCGGTACATGGTCTCCAAATGGGCCCTCAATGGGCCAAATATTTTGAATTGTATTAGTTTTCATACTGGCCTGTCTTACAGAAGCTGAGCAGGAGGGATTCAGTCATGGTATCTTCACAGAAGCAGAATTACAGAGTAATTATCCCTCTCGGATATAAATAAATTAGAGTGATAAAAAGGGACGATCCTAGTTAAATCTAGTTGCAATTTTCCAACATGCATCAACTTCCCCCAACTGAAAATCAAAAAAATTTAGCCAATGTTTTTTGTGTATTTTATTCTGTTCCAATCATAGCAAGACTGCAGGACAGCAGTATGTTTGCATCTGTAATGAAGGACACTTGAATTGTATGATTAAACCAAACTGGTCCTATATGTTTTTTTTTTCCTGTGTGGAATGCCATTATTTCAATATTTTTATTAAAAAAAAGAAAACAAATGAGTCATGCAATGCAGTGAACACAATCTAATGAAAAGAATATATAGCTCCACCTTTCTTTTCGCAATCAACCTGAGAAAACAATTCAGCTTATTAATGTCCATCATTTTGGCATTTTCAGATGCTTTGTTTTAAAGATGACAATCAGACACGCAGAACTAACGTTTTCCTCCAGTCATTCAGTCACTTATTTCTTTTGTGTGGGTTTTTGCTTATTTGTTTGTTTTTGTTTTTAAAGGGGGGCAGCTGCTTTGTGATCAGCCAAATGTCAAAAATCATTCTTATCATAACAAAGCAGAAAATAAAATATTCCAGGTAGCCCATTGTCATGGACGTTCTTTAAAATCACAAAGGGGTAAGATCTTTATCTCCATTCACATGGGTTAACTTTCATTAAAGTTAATGGGAATTGCACCCCTGCGTCAAAGAAAATACACCTAGTGCTCTGCCTCTTCTTTTTAGCTTTAGCATCCAAGGAAGAAACTATATAAAGGTGAACTTATTTAGTGATCATCAGCTTCCTCTGGAACACAGGAGTGATTTTGGAGGTCCTCGGGATTTTCTCATTGGCATTACTCATGTGCTTCAGTGCTTTTATAAATCAGGCACTTACATTCAAACACATTAGCCAAACGTCCAGTTTGCAAAGGAAATACCTAAAGCCCAGTAAGGATTTCAGTTTGGAAATCTAGAGGTTAATTGACATCTCAGTGACCTCATATCCGCAGTAAAAACTTTCAACATGAAAAATGTAATCTCTGTAAATATTGTAATTAAAGACAAAGTTGTTTTCACAATTGTCGGGAAAAAAGATTGTAAAATTACCCAGGAGGGAAGAAATTAAAGCAAACAGATCTATAGGAAAATACTCTCATGTTAAATATCAAACTAAAATAAAAACTGCCTATGAAAAATTCACAAATAAACACTCATAATGCATTTGCAAATGTATTATCCTCTCAGGTTTCATAATTCTGTGAGAGTGCGATTACTTAACAGTGGTGCTGTTATAAAATTACACATAGTGGCTGGCAGGTTTTGAAACTACTCCAGAAACCAAAGTCTGACATTACACAACTATTGTATTTGGGTATTTGGCAACAGGAAATCTGGCTGACGATAACTGAGTTGTACCGAGCCCTGCAGCAGGCACTGAGAAACTGTGTCCATTAAATCTGCAGATGGCAAAGTAGATATGAGATTACAGCTGCACACACGAGGATATGACATCTATGCCTATATTCATCACATGGCTGGTTTCACATGACTCATTCAGCCTTTTTTCTGTTACATGAAAGGGAAGCTAAGTAACAAGACCTCTGGTGATTTTTAAATGGGTCCAAACCTGCTATGGTCTACATTTAAGGAGTAAACAGAGTAAAAAGATAGTCATCACATTCTTAAAGTTGTCATGTCATGGAGTTGTATTAGCCCACCGGTATCTGGGTAAATCCTATGTATATTTCATTATATGTGTTTCCTATGCAATCCCGTTCAAACATACAGGCAGAAGTGCCCAGAATGTAACAAGCAGATCAAATGTATTTACACACACACACACACACGAGACAAGACAACAACATCAGCAGATGTTATTCCAGCTATTTGTAATGAAATAGAATACTTAAGTAAATAAATGAACGCAAACCTGCAGTACTGTCTGTTTTACAAAGATAAGCTGAAAATTTCAGCAAAATTCAAATGTGCCCACAGGCGGCAGAGGATATGGGAGAAATTTCCTGGTTCTCTGCTGCACAGGAGAGTATTCACATAGTAGGGTTGTGTAAGTTACATTGGGCATGGGTCAGAGTGGTTCACAAGAGCCTTTCCTTTGGATATGCATCATCACCGTTCAGGAGTCAGGCCTCTTGTGTTTTGCTCTTAATCAGAGATTCAGATAAATGCTCAAATTGGAACTCTATTGAAGATGAAGTTTTTCATCCTGTCCTCTGGAGGAAACCCTAGATGTTTCACAGGATTTTGATGCAAAAGAGTAGAGTAACATCTACAGGCCCTAACAGAGGTAGATAAAGGCCCCATTTTGCTAGACTCCATAAAACACATAGCAAGAGACAGTCCCCACTCTGAAGAATCATAGAATATAAGGGTTGGAAGGGACCCCAGAAGGTCATCTAGTCCAACCCCCTGCTCGAAGCAGGACCAATTCCCAGTTAAATCATCCCAGCCAGGGCTTTGTCAAGCCTGACCTTAAAAACCTCTAAGGAAGGAGATTCTACCACCTCCCTAGGTAACGCATTCCAGTGTTTCACCACCCTCTTAGTGAAAAAGTTTTTCCTAATATCCAATCTAAACCTCCCCCACTGCAGCTTGAGACCATTACTCCTCGTTCTGTCATCTGCTACCATTGAGAACAGTCTAGAGCCATCCTCTTTGGAACCCCCTTTCAGGTAGTTGAAAGCAGCTATCAAATCCCCCCTCATTCTTCTCTTCTGCAGGCTAAACAATCCCAGCTCCCTCAGCCTCTCCTCATAACTCATGTGTTCCAGACCCCTAATCATTTTTGTTGCCCTTCGCTGGACTCTCTCCAATTTATCCACATCCTTCTTGAAGTGTGGGGCCCAAAACTGGACACAGTACTCCAGATGAGGCCTCACCAATGTCGAATAGAGGGGAATGATCACGTCCCTCGATCTGCTCGCTATGCCCCTACTTATACATCCCAAAATGCCATTGGCCTTCTTGGCAACAAGGGCACACTGCTGACTCATATCCAGTTTCTCGTCCACTGTCACCCCTAGGTCCTTTTCCGCAGAACTGCTGCCTAGCCATTCGGTCCCTAGTCTGTAGCTGTGCATTGGGTTCTTCCGTCCTAAGTGCAGGACTCTGCACTTATCCTTATTGAACCTCATCAGATTTCTTTTGGCCCAATCCTCCAATTTGTCTAGGTCCCTCTGTATCCTATCCCTCCCCTCCAGCGTATCTACCACTCCTCCCAGTTTAGTATCATCCGCAAATTTGCTGAGAGTGCAATCCACACCATCCTCCAGATCATTTATGAAGATATTGAACAAAACTGGCCCCAGGACCGACCCTTGGGGCACTCCACTTGATATCGGCTGCCAACTAGACATGGAGCCATTGATCACTACCCGTTGAGCCCGACAATCTAGCCAGCTTTCTACCCATTATAGTGCATTCTTCCAGCCCATACTTCCTTAACTTGCTGACAAGAATACTGTGGGAGACCGTGTCAAAAGCTTTGCTAAAGTCAAGAAACAATACATCCACTGCTTTCCCTTCATCCACAGAACCAGTAATCTCATCATAAAAGGCCTGCAATCTTAACAGACAAGACAGACAATGAGTGGGTGCAGAAAAAGAGGCAGAGAGGGGTGTAATGTGACTTGCACTAAGACATATAACCCATAAGTGGCATATAGAACCCAAAATAAAAAGGAAAGCTGGAAAAGTTTTGCAAAGCATTTGGAGGAAAAATGTGGGTTTTGGTAAGTGTTCAGGGTTTTTTGAGGCATCAAAATAATTTTTTTAATCAAAACTCCATTTTTTGTTCATTTTCTTCAAAGTCATTTTTCATAAAATATGTTTGTGAAAACATTTTGACCAGATCTAACATCTGCCCTTTGGAGATACTATCATTTGGGTCTATGTTCCACATTAACTAATGTTTGGAAGATGAAAGCTAAAGCATATATACCAGCAACTAACAATGGGAGGATAACAAATTCATTTTAGCTAGTAATTAGCCATCCGTGCAGAGAATATCTCCTGAAGATCTATTGGAACAAGAGCCTGGAGGAAAAGTCCAAGCCCCCCAGGGCTGGCACACAAGCTTGATACCTGATTCATTCAGTTCACCACCTTTTCTGTCTGGTGATGTTCAGACGTGATGTTCTTTAGGAGGGCCAATTAACCTTTTTTAACGATCAGCAAAAAGTTCAGCGCTGCCCTTTAACCCCCTCCCCCCACTTTCTGATGAGCTCTCTGATCCACTACTCTGTCTAAGGGAGCAGTCTCGACAACTGTACCTGTAAATTATAATTAATGTCTTGATGCCCGTCTGTGTTTCAAACTCAACATGCACTTTCACCAATATGGAAATTACAACATTTCTATGGGCTTTCTGGGACACAAGCAAACAATGTTAGACGCTGGTAGGTAAAATGCTTCCCTCTCGCATAGCTGCCAAGCAGGTCCCCTAACTAATATTCTACTTGCTCTATTTAGATCCTGATCCTTACTCTTGGGAGTTCCTCATGTTTAAGGCATAGAAGGCCATGTGACTATTTGAAATACGAAGTCTGAGAATGACATTATAATGTGGACTTCTGTTAAAAAGGAGGTCACACTAGATGATCACACTGGCTCCTTCTGGCCTTATAATTTGTGAATTTATAATGTATGCACATCAATTCATCTGTGTGGTACCATTCCATCCACCCATAAATAAATCACTCTCAAGATAGTACTGTATTTCTGATCGACTGCTATATGCCAGGTTGATGCATCGCCACGGGCAGCTGTCCCTCATTGTAGCCTACGCTCCCACCAAGGAAGCTGCAGACACTAATAAAGAAATGCTATCAGCAGCTAACAGCAGTGACACAATCAGTACTGCCACACAATTAACTTATTATACTTGGAGATATGAATGTTGCCCTAAGTTGTCAGAGAAATGGCTTCAAGACTACTCTTGGATCATTTTGCTCTGGAATAATAAATTAGAGTTCTGTGACATTTCTCTCCTTTTGCACTTCTTATAATATTGCCAGCCCTGACAGTTGATTCATAGATATTCATCAGGAAACCAGGATATCCAATGAAGCATGGACCAGGAAGGAGCTGGACCGTATATTCGTCCTGAATCATAGTATAGTAAAGTCATATTGGGTTTACAGATGTGCAGAAACCCCAACAAATAGTGGCCATCGTCTCCTTGTTGCAATTACCCTCCTATTTCAACACAAGTACATGCGTGTTATGCAACAAAAGGCATCTATGAAAATTCAGCACTTGCTAACAAATACTCTGTCACAGTGAATAACAAATTCGACACACTTGGCTCTCCCCTGGATGAATCAGCTTGGGCAGCCATAAGCACAGTCAGCTGAGAAACTGAAGATGCCATCCCAAAATCTGAATGCGACCAGTGATGCCCTTAACTATCTGATGAGATATTTCAAATTTTGCAAAACAAATTTGACGCCAGACAGCACCATGATGATGCTGAATGTAAATGTTTACAAGGCATTTTTCAGGTGACAGCAAAAATAGATCATTATTTTGAAAACTTGGCAGAAGAGAGAATAAAGGTCTAATAAATTACAGCTTACACTCAAAGCTATTAAATCACTTCAATCCAAAACTGGACTTTGCTCCAGGTTTATGCAGACAAATAAGGCTGATGGTAAAAAGTGCTCAACCCAAGAACTCCTGCAAAGATGGAAGGAATATTATGAGGTTGCAATTAACCATCCTGAAGCAATCCATGCCCTGATCTGCATGTGTTAGTAGTAGATGCAATCCCTGACCCCATAACCTATGCAGTCATGTCTACATTGGAAGAGTACCACCCTGCTATAAAGAAACAGCAAAGAGGCTGGACCCAAACTGCTCAGGTGCACCATAGAGCCCATAAGTGTAACATTACACCAATTTTTTTGTCCAGGCTTGAACTACTGGGAAGGTACCAGCAGAGTGGAAGGAAGGATCTTCATCATCCCACTTTGTTAGTGGAAAGGCCCGCACACTAATTGCAGCAGCCAATAATTTTTCTGTTCCTGGAAAAAATGCATACATGTCCTTCTAGCCCAGCTCCAGCCTCTCCTTGGGAAACATCATCACCCAGAACAATCGGGCTTCAGTGCTGGGCAATCTACAATGGACACTATGCTTGCTCATCATTGTTTATCTGAGACCCATCACAAATTGAATCATCCTTTGACAGCAGCAGTGACGGATTAGCCACTGGGCCAATAGGGGGGTCCGTAGAAAAATGGGCACCCCTGCACCCCACCCACCCACCACTCCTGCTGGGGTGTGGAGTTGGGGTGCAGGGGCTTGCCCTGCTCCTCCCAGCGCTCTTGGCAGGGAGCAGG